ATTTAAGTTTGCAATTTTCCTGATTAATTGGATGAAGCAATCGAAATCCTGATATCGAATAGGGAGTTTTACCGGATTTGTGGTTTTTCAGACCGGCGAAAAATGTCTATCAGTCCCAAAAAACGGCTTATCCATTAAAGTTTGCCGATTTTCCCCAAATGGCAAGTTCATAATTACGGGTGGAGACGACGAGAAAGCCGTCATTTGGAACGTGGATACAATGGAAGCAATTTCGTAAGAATCATCGGAATTTGTTGTGGAATTTAACCGCTCTGTTATTCTGGGTTTTGTAGCGTATTGGAGGGACACCTGGATACCATAACATCCGCCTGTGTCTCCCCCGATAGTAAAATCGTCGTTACAGCGTCTTGTAATGCCGATTATCGCGCTTGGGCGGTGGAAACCGCAAAATGTCTCTACATTAAAGAAGATGCTCATGATGGTGGCATTCAGAGCTGCGATTTTTCCGACAATCTCGACCCCATACCGAACACCATATCGGATAGACAGTACTATTTGCTGGCTACGTGTGGAAACGATAGTTTGGTGAAACTTTGGAGAATCAGCGTCGAGGTAATTCAACTGCAACTCAACTGCAAATATGCAGTTGTTGGGCTCCTGCCCAACAGTTTTTCAATGGGAAATTGTTCCAGAAGTTGAACAGCGTGGTGAATATCGAGGTGAAACAGTGGCGCTCACTGCAGGGGCATGGAGGCAACGTGATCTCCGTCAGGTTCTCCCCAGTGGTAGGAGAGATTGTTTGCTCCACCGCAACGGATAGACAGTCCAGATTGTGGGCAGTTTATGGAGGGCATTGCCTTTATGTGCTGGACCACGACTCAATAGTGACTTGCTGCTCATTTAATTCCGATTGCTCACTACTGGCCACTGGGTGTCTCGATAGGACTTTATGGCTTTGGAAACTTCCCCAACAACTGGTGAGAGACTGACAACTGAAAACATTACACATTAAAACACATTAAATTGAGTTTTGCGAGTACTTTAACTCGCCCTACATATGCGGAAAACCGTTAACATCCAACGTTCTTAAAGGTATTCCAGACAGCCATTGCGAATAAAATGAAAAGCCGCTCTAAAACAGTAGCAGAATGGTCTAATAGAGATGTGATCAAATGGCTGGCCGAGATCAGCATGAGCAAGATTGCGCAAAATGTGAGGAATTCGGGATTAAACGGGGAAAAACTCATTACTTTAACCGAGGTTGAAGTATGTTCCGGCCTGGACTTGGGTACGTGCTTTTGCCGAACTCTCAAAAAAATGCACAATTTTTCAATCGTAGATGAAGAAACCTCGAAAGTAATGATGGAAGAACTGAAGTGGCTAAAGAAACTCCAGCTAGACATCCAGGCGTTTTGCACCGTCGATATTCCCCATGAATTCTTATGCCCAATCACTCATGAAATTATGCGTGAACCTGTTAGGTGTTCGGACGGGTTTACATACGAAAAAAACGCCGTCGCTGAATGGTTCATGTCCGGAAAATATACCAGTCCCATGACTAATGCGGTTCTCACAAATACGACCCTGATTCCTAACTTGGAACTGCGTGACTCAATTAGAAAGTTTTTGGAGAGCGCCGAAGAAAAGGAGTAAAAAACTGGGTTTCTTCACTGCTGTTGTATAAATCATCCTTACGTGCCTTTGGTAAAACCTTTGGAGTAAGTAAAATAAGATATTTTATTTTCTCTATGGGTACAACGACTTCAATCTGGGCATCCAAGCAGATAGCAGCTGGAGTCCGGTAATTGTTGAGACTGTTAAATCATCTGCAATATACACTGAAGCTTGTTGCCAACCAATAGCATTTTTCTCGCACCTTACTACTTAATATATATATATTTACCTACGCACTTTTTCGACTTATACACCTTGATTGAAACCTATATTCTTATAATTATTATACGCTTGTTTTTCACCGGTTTCTTTGCGTTATTTGATACAAGAGTCAAAATCTGTGATATTTGTATGTTGTATAACTATTATTTCTAAATAAACTCATTGTTTGTTCTGTTATATTGAAATTTATTGGGGCGATTTTGCGACGTTCACAAAGAACCACAAGAACTCGACATTATGAACGTCTTGGTGTATTGTAACTTAACTGACCGAAATTGTCGAATATTACAAAACATTTTTGCGAAAATTTACGAAATAAAGCAAATAAATGTTGCTAAGACATATTCTTAAAACATTGCCTTTTTTGGGTTTAATTAATGAAACATTCACTGTTTGGACGTACGTATATTGGTTTTTCTATGCACAAGAAACACCCATACACGTTCTAACAGAACTAAAATTGCTTAAGTAACATACTTATCTTACCTTATGAATATAAAAATTTTACATTTTGTTGTATACTCTTATACCTTGGACGCAGTAACCAAAGTTCAAGGGATTAGCTACTGACAATTGATTTATGAGTCTGAGTCGTCGGATTCCTCGTCAGAAGCAGCATCTTCATCTTCAGACGCCCCCTCCTCATCTACATCTTCTTCTTCATCGTCACCATCATCTTCAGGAACTTGTTTGCTAGACCCCTTACCCTTTTTGACTACAGCTGCCTATAAAAATTCAAGTACACTTGAATTAGCTAAAATACTACTACGGATAGCGCGTAAATTGTTACCTTTTTCTCAGGCTGTCCTTTCTTTTGCAGCTTCTCGTCCGCAGCGGCATTCTTGGCTTCCGCAATTTCAGCTTTAGTTTTTGCGCTGGCAGCGGCTGAGCCCTCGTTGATGATCATTTTCAGTTTATTAAGAATGCCCAGCTTCTTCTTAGCTGTTTTCGTGAGCTCTTTCCGTACAGTGATTGCGGCTATCCTGGTGTCCAACACTTTGTTGAGTTCAGCGTCTTTGGTGCCTTCCTTCGCTTTTACTTCAGCAGCCAAGTTGGAGAACGCGTTTTTCCTTGTCTTCTTGCTTTCCGCCGTTTGGGCTCCATCCTTAGCTAATTTCGCTTGCGTTTTAGGCTTGGGCCCTTTAGGCTTGGCAGTGGCAGATTTCGCATTTTTAGGCGCTTCTTCGGTTTGTTGAACGTTTTTGTTTGCATTTGGAGCCGCAACGGCGGGTTCGGCCAATTCAGTAGCCTCGGCTTTGACGGGTTTGTTTTTCTGTTGCTTCCCTTTTGCTACTTGCGGTGTATTCTGGTTACTCTTATTCAGTTGTTTGCCTTTGGGGGCAATTTTCGGTAATTCATCATTGGACTCGACTTTGATATTTTTATTATTTTTGTTTGATTGCTGTTTGCCTTTGGGGGATTGGGCTTGTTTTTTCGGAGCACCGTTGCCGTTTTCCACTTTAAGTTTTTTCGCTGACGCATTTGGAGTGAGGCTTTTGCGCTTGTTGGGTGTGTTTACTCCAGCTTTAACCATTTTGATATTCTGCAATAAAAGAATTCGTCTAATAATTGTCGTGCTGGGGTCAGGAAAATGGAAGTTTTCATGCGTTTACAAAAATACACGTAGATAGTGATACCAACTCAGGCAATCTGCTGGAGATAAAATTGATTAAGTAAACACGAAAATTAGTTTGTTGTTGGCGATTGAACAGTTTATTGTACTAAAACGAAAGAAATTCAATAAATCGTTCGAACTTCGGAATGACGTGTTGGAGAGATTTCGAGTCTGTAAATTGCAGCATTTGCATGAAAAGTAGCCTGCAATAATTGCAAAACCAGGACTGCGCCCCGAGAAAGGTTTAGTGGGTTCTAGACTCTTTCCTTAAGATAAACTATGTAATTTATTCTGCGAAATCAACCAGAAGAATTATCAACAATCCAAGACCGCATGTTGCGTTGGCTTGGGTTGTTGGCTCATTTGATTCTTACTTGCTTTTCTTGCTAAACGCCAATTTAATTGTTTCAATAAGACTCCCAATTTTTTTTGGCCTTTGCAGTCAAATATATAAAAATTAATAAAGCCTCGGGACTCAATTACGAGGAGAATGAAACCAGGAGAATGAAGATAAGCCATGAGGGCCAGCATGTTGCTTGAAGCTTTCTGCTTCAGGCAATCAGAAGGCAAATAACTAAAGCTAATATTCACTAGATGTAATTAAACACGTTAGTTGCTACATGGAATAATGTAATTTCATAAAAAAGCAAATCTTTCGAAAAAAAACGTGTCCTCGACGTAAAAGCTATTTGATCGAACGCTTTAAAAAATGATTAATACGATCAAATAATTGTTGCTTACCGTAAAATGCCCTCTTTAGCAAGCTGAAACACTATGAATCGTCCAGAATGCCGAACTAAAACAAGAAAATTCCAGAATTTATTCTAGTGACGAGATTATGCCGCTAAACAGGAAAACGCGTGTGAAATAATAGGTTAGAAGCACGGGCGCCTTCAAACTCACGTCTAGTGATAATCTACAGATTATCAAACTATATGTGAACACCAACGTTTGTGTCACAGATCACACAGGTTACTCTATGATCTGTGGTTTGTGTGGCCGCAAATCCCGATAGCTCGGTGAATGGCGCGCAGTTTCAAAATTTACATTTAATGCTTGAAGGAGGATATTTAAATGAAAACTAGCGCAAAATCTAAATCGGTTGGCCAGTATCACCAATAATGTATGGTGAAATTTGGGTTCTTGATCAAGAATAGCATTTTGCCGGTTTTTTATTTTTTTTATATTTAATTAAATTGTTTTCGTCGGAAGTTTTCGCAATTTTCCATATCAGAAGAACAGTCAACAAAAACTGATTTAACTATTGAATTTTTAATCCTGACATACATTGTTTAAGCTTATTGACTAAATCATTAAAAATACGATTTTTCCATTTCAATCCTGGCCATTCTCGCGCTTATTCTTATTCCTCCTAAAAGACCTTTTCTGGGACTCTTTCACACTGCCTGCCAACTTGCCCTGTCTGCGAAGAGCGTGTAGTTTAAAATTTTTTCCTTTGATTTCCTTCTTTTTCTCGTCCCCTTTTTTCTTACCTCCTTGGGTGTATAGCACATTGATTCTTCGGCCTCTTAGCTGCGAATGGTGCATCGACATGCATTTCTGCAATTAAACATTCAGTGTGAATCTGGTAAGGAAAATAATGTCGGCCAGGAAGGTCTAAAAGCCCGGCAAACTTTCAAGCAATAGCCGTGAAAGCTTACTTCTTTTAACAAACCAATAAGTACGTACCTCATATGAAGTATCATTATTCACTTCAACATACGCGAAGCCTCTCGGCCTGTTACTGCCCTTTTCTGTAGGGATGCGAATATCCACAATATCGCCCACTTTGGCGAAATGCGTCGCGAGTTCTTCTTTAGTTGCATCATAAGGAATATTTCCCACAAACAACACGAATCGTTTCTGACCTTTTTTAACGATATCTTTGCTGTACAGGTCGGTGATGGTCGGTTGTTTTGGCGTTGGTTTAGGAAGTACAGGTTGGACTTTTTCCTGAAGGGAAAACGTACTTTAGGAACAGCAGAATGTGAGCAAAGGAAGAAATAAATCAAACGTTTTCTTACGAACTAATTTTAATGTATCAAGATTTTCAAAGGTCGCAATTTACATAATGTAAATAAACTCAATGATATAAAAATATACATAAATGTTTCTTTTTTCTTGGGATGAACCTATTGATTCAAGGAATAAGAAAGTACATTTTCCTGTAAACACCAGTATCAAACAGACATTTAGAAAAACCGGCCATAGAAATCTTAACAAAATTAAAATGACGTAAAAAATGGTTACAGACTAATTTCACACGATAAAGTTACTTTTTCTTGTTGGGCCTGGATTTCTTAACACTAACCTTGGGAGCGGGAACTGGAATTTCCTCCTCGTCTGAGTCATCCTCATCGTCCTCCTCTTCCTCGGCCTCTTCACCATCATCGTCCTCTTCATCATCCTCATCGTCGTCGTCGTCTTCCGCATCAGTGTCCTCTTCCTCCTCCGCACTGTCACCGTCTAAAAGTAAAGCAAGCAAATAGTTATTCTACGATTAAACAGGATTTCATTAACAGTCACATACCCTCTTCGGCATCTGAGTCATGATCAGAAACCTCAGAATCGTCATCATCATCTTCTTCCTCCTCGTCATCTTCGCTGTCTGCAAGTTCTGGAGCCGGGGACTTAGATGCCTTTTTGCCTACAGCTGCCTATAAAAGATTTTTCAATTATTCCAAGGCCGTACAAGCAAACTGAATTAAATCAATTATTACCTTCTTTGCAGCTACGGGTTTCTTCTGAAGTTTTTTCTCGGAGCCCAGTTTCTTCTTTTCGGCAATCTGCGCTTTAGCCTTTTGACTGGCCGCTGTTGAACCTTCAGTGCAAATCAGCTTCAATTTATTAAGGATGCTCAGCTTCCTCTTAGCTGTTTTTGTAAGATCGCCCCTTTCAGTGATTGCGTTTAACCTGATGTCCAAAATCTTAAGGAGTTCAGGATCATTGGTGCCCTCCTTGGCCTTCACTTGGGCAATCAAGTTCGCAAATGCGTTCTTCCTTTTCTTCTTGCCCTCACCGGCTTCGAGTGCAGCCTTGGGCTTCTTCACTTTTTCAATGGATTTAGTGAGCTGTTTGGTTCCCGCAAACGATGTCACTTTTTTCGGGGAATCGCCCCCAGCTTTGCCCTTCTTATTTTTCTTGTTGGCTTGAGGAGAAGGCGTCACCGGTTTTGGCGCTTTGGGAGATTGAACAGCCTTGGGTAGACTATTTCTTCCCTCAACTTTTATTTTAGGCGATTGAACAGCCTTAGGAGATTGAAAAGCCTTGGGAGACTGACCGGCCTTGGGTAGACTATTTCTTGGTTCGACTTTTATTTTGGGCGATTGGACGCCTTTTGGGGAATGGGGCTCCTTCTTAATACTCACGAGTTTTGTTGGACTCGCGACTCCGTTGCCGTTCTCCACCTTAGTTTTTTTGGCGGAAGAGTTCGCCTGGAGACTCTTGCGCTTGTTGGGTGTGTTCACTTCTGATTTCACCATCTTGAATTCTGAAATAGAATATTAATCGTCAAGACTAAAGTGGCTTTGCTTAAAACACGTGCAATGTGGTTAGCAAATGAAGTCGCCTCAATTGCATTCAAAGGTTTTCAGCACATGGTATTTATTTCACGGTCAATCGCAATGAAAGCATTTGCACTATGGGCTAGACTGCAGTTGTTTAAATAAACTACCTAAACTGTTTCGGCGTGTAATGGAAGGCAGTGAAAAGCAAGGGTTCCTTCGCAAAAATCGTGTTTTCAAGTAAATGGTATTTTAAAGTAGCCCAAGATGTATTGCTTACCTGATTTATTCTTTTCGAATTGTAATGACTGTTAGTGACCGCCTAGACGATGAATTTATCAAATGCTTCTGATAACTGAAGGCACGCCGCTTCTACCACAAGCATGTAAGTTATTAATTAATGGTTAGTTCCTGTAGTCTTCTTTAAAGCTAAAATTACCCTCAGTGTGGCCAACATCGCAGATCAAATGAACCTATTGAGTATTCGAATTTTGACCCTAATTTTACTGTCGTTATCCTTTGACTTTTTTAATGATGTCTTAATTGTTTTCCTTCATTAATCAATCACACTTGCATTTTTTGATTTTTCATTTTATGAATTTAAAGGATTTGTCTAAGATTTAACATTTACCTGTTAGACCTTTACATACCACGCCTCTTTAGCTGTACCATAACCATAGATAAAGACGAGAGACCATAACCTCATAATTTCCTTGAAAACTGGCGGCTAGACTGCATGCTAAATATATTTTCAAAAGTACTGTATTTACAGCATTATTCGATTTCCTACTGAATTGAATCTATCTGGACAATGCCTCTCGTCGCCCGTGAAATAGAAGACATCTTCACTTGTGAGGAGAAAGGAGTGAAAAAGCTGTTATCAAGCATACTGACGTTGAACCTCCAACATGAGACCCATGAAAAGGCCATAGTTAGTGAAATTAATCGGCTGTTATCAGTGGCAAAACGTCGCAAGGAGGGCTTGGAGTATCTGAGCTTAATTATCAACAGCTGCAGCTCAGATGCTGTGGCAGACAACGGCTTAATTTGGATAAACCACTGCATTGTGAAATTCCCTGATGATGTCTTAAGGGAGATGAAACTACGAGTTTTAGGTAACTGCGAATCAAGACGTTTATCTATTGTATCTATGTAGAAATTCAGTTGCCTCTAAGTTCAATGGAAACCATTTCTTTCAATTGCAGGCCGCATCATTGAAGTGGCTCATGATCGAGGTGACTTTAACAAGAAGTTCGTGTCGGATTACATCTCAAAAGTAGTGGACAACTGTATTACAACCTTGTATGTGAATATTTACGAGTGCAAAACCGCACTGACCACTCTGGCTACATGCATGAAGTACTATTTCAGCTGGTTTGGGCAGCAGAAGCCAAAAATCGAGAAGTTTATTCTGATTTTCTTGGACTCCGAGGACATAGAATTAGTGGAAAAAGCTGCAATAGCTTTGCACTACTTACAGAGTGTAGGTATCTTTCGGTATGCAGTCGCCGTAAAAGAAACACCTGTGTAACCGCCTGTGGAGTTAGCTTCGACCTACATCTATGTAGTTCTACAGGTTGATTGGAAGTAACAATAGATCATATTTTCTAGTGTGGTGCTGCTGGTGTTAGTGGAGTAAATCACAAGACAAATTTTACGCAAACCTTCCATAAATTATGCAGAACCGCTCACCAGCTTTATGACAAGTTTTTTGAAAATGAATCGGAATATTTCACTCCCGGTGAATACGAGGGGGACGCATTCGAATTTGAGGACAATCCAACGCATAGCGTCCAGAGCGTTTTGCATTCTACTGGCCGAAGAATACTCAATGTGTACAAGTTCATTGAAATTGCCATTAAGTGAGTATGAGTGAAATTAATCAGTGCATTGCTCGTGAACTTTACTCAGGTGCACTAGTTCGTCAATAAAATTTTCTAACTTTAGACTCAAGTATCCAGTCGCAAAGGAAACCAGACCAAATGAACTATTGGCCCTGATTCTAAGGGCTTTGTCATTCCATAAATGCATTAGCGGGAATAATGAGGTCCCACTACAAACTTATCAGTTTTCCCTAGAACTTCTGGAGATCCAGTGCGCGGCCTTAAAGCTACTAAGACTTTTTATAATTTGGTAAGAATCAACACATGAAACCAATTTATTTACACCACACATTTTTATTTTCTTGCCTTTCAGGTTCCAGTCCAACAGTTTGCCCTTTTCCTATACAATTTCCAAAACAATTGTGGATTCCATCGAAAGAACTCATAATTGCAATTGCTATTTAATCGACTGGTATGGCACACACATTGATACGGTTTAGGTTGTTTCAATTGATATTCTTTTCCTGTACAGCCTGTATTCTGAAGCAGCCTACCGAGCTCTTTATGAATGGATTTCGATATCGAAAAGCTCGTTGCATCCAAATTTTCAATCGCACATACTGGAATGTGTACTGTTAAGCATAACTCCTGTAGCGCAGCAGGTAACATTGACAATAACCGATGCTGCAACCGGAAAAAAATCGCAGAAAGCCAAGCGAAAGGCAATGGTAAATCGAATAGTGTCTAGTGAGAAAACCACTGAAGGGCTGTAAGTTTTTTGAATTAATTTTGAGTTTTTTATAAATATTTTTTAATTTTTATTGCAGAGTGTCAACAACGAAATTGGGAAAAAACAGTGCGAAAACCACATGCTATTTCGCCTTGAAAGTATTGAAGCGCTTGCTGGATTGCACCACACTAAACGTAAAAGCAGACCTGCTGATGGTATTAAAAACCACTTGATAATAATAGCACGTTTTTCATATATGTATATATATTTTTTAGGATCTGCACAAGTCAGTTTTGGATACACTGCTGGACATCCAGTCGGGAAAGCCATCCGATCTTTACACTGATCCTCGATGTCAAGCGAATCTATATGAGATTCTGGTGGGTTTCTTGCATCAAAACACTGTTCCAGTCGTGGTTTCGCTACATACGGCGTTAAACATTCTGACGAAGGGATCGAACCATCAGGACCATGTTGTTGCTGATATTTGCCAGGAGGGGCTTCGAATTTCGGAAAAGTTGTGCCAGCCTATCTGTCCTTCTTTATTCATGCGGATGAATACCGATTTGGACGACGCGGAGGAGGACGTGGCGGAGAATCACGCTGCTCACGGTGAAGAAATGGAAACATCTCAGGATCTCAGCGCTAGTATGGGTATGTTGGGTTATTTTGCACTAAAAAAACCTTCGCATTGTTTGTGTTATTCTGTTAGCATTTTTCTAATAATTTGTCGATTGACTGATTTTCAGAAGAGGCCTCGAAACCCAGTGAACTTCACAATGATTCAGTTGATCGGAATTCCACAAGCGAAAGCATTGCGTACAACGTAAGATATACTGAATCAGATCGATCAACGATTGATGATGGGCTTAGTGAAAAGGGTAAGTACAAGCTTCCTATTTGGCATCATCATTTATAATTGAACACATAGGAGAACAAACGGATAACGTAATGTTCGAAGAAATGAATGTCGATGCCGAAGTCGAATTCAAGCACGATGAAGAAATCTCTCAACACCCTGTAGTAACGGCGCCCAGTGAGGACGGGAACGAGATTTTAGAAGGCCAGCAGATTCAGGACGACGAAATGGAACCCATTGCAGAAGAACCAGAAAGTGAATCCATAGCAAACGTGGAGGTAGTTGATAATGAATTGTTATTTATAATCAAATCGAAAACAAATTCTTTAGGATTCAATTGAATCTGAACGTTCTACTCAGCCGGCTGAAGAGCAAAGCTTGAAAACTGACGCTGTAGACGAAGTTGGACCAACACCTGAAATCAGTACTGAAAGCGAGCAAGCGCAAATTATGTCTGCCGATGCACCTTCGGAAACAATCCGGGAAGATCCAATCGCGACTGCAAATGCAGCGGCTGTTATCCAGTCTACTGAAGTTGTAATAGAAGGTGATCTTAAAGACCTTTCAGCTGATGTTGAGGAGGGTCGCAAGCGAAAAACATCTGAGAATGAAAAAGCGCTGGAGCCAATTAAAAAACTTAAAGCGTCAGAAACTGGGGTACATGAATCTTCCATTGAAGGTGGTAAGTGGGAAGACGCGCTCGATGCCACTTACTTGGAGGATGATTCGTTTGTCGATGAAGTTAGGAATGATCATTAGTACTACTAGGTTAAGTAAGTATTTGCTTATGTTTGAATCGCTCAAGAGCCGTGCTAAAGGCAGGGGTCTTTTCTTGAAATAAATGTTAAACATATATGACTTTTTTGCCCTAATCTACCTGGAATTTTAGAGTGTTCTAGCCATCGTGAGGTTTGTGCGCGTCACAAAACCTCTTCTAAATACCGGGTATTGGAATGGACTATCCGCTGTTTGACTACGTTTGGAAATGGGAATATTCCTTCCATCGCTCCTTTCATTGGAAGGAGCATGTCGCACATTGTCCACTACTTGAAACTGAACGCTAGTTTTGCTGCTCAACTCGTTACTGCGTTTCGCTGCTTCTGTGCTGTTAGATTGCGGCTCTTCCTCCAAATTTGGCAAAGGGATTTTTACAGTGAGTATGTCATCCGATTTGTTGGAATCGTTGGAAATGTGATACTGAACGTTTTTAATTTCGGTGTTCTGGATAACGTCGATCAAGCTCTTGATTGCGGATAGTTTGGAGGTTTCGGCTTTCTCCGTGCGCGTCGGTCGCGTGTCTGATGGAACTGCGGCATTGGGGGGCATTTCCTTGTGAAGGTACGCGACTGGCCATCTTCGTGGTTGCCCAAAACCGCCTAAACCTCCAAAACTTCCAAAACTCCATTGAATATCGGGCATTTTATACTTACCAGGCTTTGGAGGGCCTAGAAACTCGTTATCAAACTCTTCCTCGTATTCGTTGAGGCTGGGCCTGGGAGGCGAAAGCTTCACCGGAGCGTTAGGCCTGTCCGGTCGCAAACCAGCGCTTTGAGGAGAGGGAGGATAATGCCCGGATGCTTGCCAGGGTTTTTTCCCGTTATCAAACCTGTCTGTATATGGGTAATACTGGTCGCTGCACTTCCGCCACTGCGTTTTGGTAGGGCCCACATAACACCTGAAGCATTTTCTTATGGGTTTGCTTTTGCGATTATAGCTCGAAGGACCTACCAGGAATATGGATATCCATTTGAGAGCCCGCATTGATGGTCAGGGCTGCAGCAGTAGTCCCAAGCGTTATCACCGCTGTCCAGCTCGCAATACCAGAAGCCTGCGGCCCTGTTTTCCTTGCAAAGAGTTCCGCGTTTGCACGGCCATCCGCTCACACTGTACACTTTCCAGATGTCCAACGGATTTAGGGAGTCTGCGATCAGTTGCTAAAGGTTTGAGCGCGATGGTTCCTTAATACATACCTAAACCGTCGTTTCCATACGGTCTCAACTGGGTTGGTAGATGCGAAGCATCCAGGGATTTATGCGCCAAGTCGGTGCATTCTGGATTGTAGTCGTCCCAAGTAAAAATCCAGGAACTTGGCTCGTTCATGTAGTCGACGTTCGGCAACAGATCCCTTTGAATAATGTCCGAAAGGAAGCAGTTGTGAGCGATGTGCGTGCGGTCAGTTCTAGAAGAAGTTTTGCTTGGCAAACGATTCTCCATTAAAACGTTTTGCGATTCTACTAAAGCTTACACAAAACTGAAAGTCATGCATCGGAAATCGGCCCTTTGCCTAGCTTGGGAGCATTCGTGTTTGCAATCCAGCTCGGTTGGAACGTACGCTGACTTCACAGTAGCCTGAGGGAGGAGCTTAGCCGCCGAGCCAAATCCAACGTAACACACTGAATCAACGTGAAACTTTACATACTAAAAGGGCACAGAATCGCGCATTTTCCTACATTGATCCACTTTGAGGCCGGGTTGTTTCGCTGGGAGTTTTTCCCGGATGCTGAAGTGATTCGGCTCACATCCGTGCCCAAAACTGCCCCGTTCGTACACTTCGAAGCCAGGTTCAGGCAAAAAATCCACCCTGGGGTTCAGTTCGAAGAATGGGCAATCTGAGAGCTGGCAATTATCAATTGGACCCCCTATTATTGGAGGGTTGTATCTGAAAAGGGGTTTGCGTGTGGTTTTAATTTAGTTCCAAATCAAAATCAATTCCTGGGCTTCAGTCATTTATTGTCTATTTATCAATTAAAATACGTTTCGGTGTTTTCCACCATCATCAGTTTCT